GCGGCGTGCCTGACCTCAGGGAGAAGTACTGGCTGGATGATCTCTGAAGGTTTTTGACTCCAATGCACTATTTTAAACAATTCTGGTTGTCTACGTGACACCACTGATGTTGTTCACATCCGTAGATCATCTAGCACATATCCAGGGGAGAGAGATGTGTGCGTCTTTATGTGTAACAGAAAAAGAGGCTGTTTCCACCAGGCATGCATGAGAATCGCTTTCATTGCATCATGATGGAGCAGGTATTCTAAACCACTTGAGCCAGAGCAAAACTAGAACAGTCAAATCTATCTTCAGGCTCAATCTTGACGCTTCACACATCATCTGATAGGGCTTGGACCCAGTAATTGTTAAGGTCCTTTCCAGATGCAACATTCTGAGTCTTCAAGGTAAAAAAGGCTTAGGTCATTCAGGAAATGCTCTGCTGCCAGAGAAAACCTAAAGCACCACCTGACCCAGTTATAACTGCCGCGCAACGCGAGGTCTCAGGTGGACACAGCACCGGCTTCTTCCAGGCCCCTGCCCATGGCCCACAGAAGGGCAGGATGCCTGGCTGGAGCAGCTCCAGCTAAGTGACAATTCCCTATCAGCCAGGCTGAGAAGCCCGGGGCAGGAGCAGGTCAGGTGTGGCTGGCCTATGGCCCAGTCCAGGCAATCCACAGCCCTGCTAAGAGCTCTGGCTTCTTTCTGGCTGGTCAAGGCCAAAGGCCACTGCAGGGATCTCGCACGGAAGTGCAAAGTGACAGGGAATGGCAGGAAAAAACCCTGGACTCTGGAGTCTGGCAGGCCTGAGCTGGGCACTACGTCTCCTGCTCATCGGCTGAACTACTATGCAGAAGTCGCTCCCCCTTCCCAGAGCTTCAGCTTCCTCCACTGGGGACGTCACCCCCCGCTCCACAGCGCCTGGTACAGTGAGTACCTGTCTCTAGTCCCACTTCGTGAACAAAATCAAGGTGAACGTATGTCTCCCCAACCTCCCTGTCTGCAGCTACAAACACCTTCATCTCCTCTCCTCCTGCCCTTGCCCTCTCTTCAAACTGCCTCCGCCCCCTGAATTACTTCGTTTGGTGGCACAGCCCCACCTGTCCCCCAAGCCACCTCTCTCTCTCCCTTGGACCTAATCAAGCACCATGTCCTGCCAGTTTAACACGTGAGATCTCTCACTGTCCTGCCACCTCTCTGCCACCATCCCCATACAGATTCCTGTCACCTCCTCCTAGACAGACTCCTAAGCGGGATTTCCAACTCAGTGTCTCTAAACCCAGCTTCGTCTTCTTCCGCCTAGTCACTCCCCTTCCTTGAGTCTGCCTGTTTCTGTTCATGATGACATGAGTCTGGCCATCGAGTTGTTCAGGATTGTTCCCTCTCCTGTGATTCCTTCCCCTGACATAAATGTCTCGCTGTAAAAAACAAAAAAAATTTTTTTTTTTAGAGATGAGATCTCACTATGTTGCCCAGGATGGTCTTGAACTCCTGGCCTGGAGCAATCTTCCACCTTGGCCTCCCAAGTTGTTGGGGTTACAGGTGTGAGCCACTACACCCAGCCACAGATGTCTGTCTGACAGGTACCTGGATCCAGTCACTTCTGAGTGGTCTGCCAATCTTTCCTTTCCCTGGCACAGACAAAATAGCAACCACGTGCCAGGCACAGAGCATAGCATCAGGCATACAAAACAAAGAAGCAGTCCCACTCCTGACCCTCAAGCGGTTCAGCCATTACGGGGCCACCTCAGTACTGCAACAGCCCATGACTAGTTTCTCCTTGTCTCCCCCCAGCCTCTCCACCAGGGTGAGCAGTGAACTAAAACTGCTCAGTAGCCACCCTCTGGCCTAGCCGCAGAGTAACAGCCAAGCCCTCTGCCCACCGGCCACCTGAGCACTCCTGCCACGACTACCCACTTCATCCTTCTTGCCCCTAAAGAACCCACGTGGTTCTTTGAACACACGATGTTCTCTGAACACTGCGATGTTCCACCTCCGGCCTTGGCTGTATCCTACAAAGCCCCACCCCACTGTCTTTGCCTGGTTAACTCCTCCCCACCGCTACTGCCTCCTCTCCTCCTGGAAGCATTCTGGGCTCTCCTGTGCCCATCCAGGTCCCTCTTCTGGGCTTCCACATCAGCCAGGGCATCACTCTCACCACACTCATCAGAGTGGGCTGAGATGACCTACACACATCATGCACACTCTCCAGAGCCTAGCGGGGGCCAGGACACAACAGCGGAGCAGGGAGAGTCGTTCAGAGGCGGGAGCGAACCTCACTTCCCTCCCACAGGCTGGCTTCCGTCGGTCTTCCCCTGACCCACAGCTCGGGTCGGCCGCACCGCCTCGCTACTGCCACCTAGGGACGCCAGTCGGGCGCTGCGCTTCTCTTGCCATTCAGCCTTGAATTCGATTCAATAAACTGAACGGGATGGGAACACTAAAGAGGGAACAGTTGATTCCGGTTGGGGGGGAGGAAGAGTGGCAGTCAGACGAGGCTTCAAAAGGCCAGTGAGCTCTGGGCTGGGCCATGGAGCCTGAGCAACGGATCTCCAGGTGGAAGAGATCTGTCTCCAGGTGGAGGCTGCAACAGGCAGGGAGGGTTAGAGTTTGGCGTCTACATGCAGGGGCAGGGAGTGTTAGGGTGTGAAGGAACTGGTACTCCAAACTAAGGGCTTCTAACTTTATCTTTTAAGCCACGAAAGAGGTCAAGAAAACGTCTTTTTTCTGCCCAAAGGTTTTAAATCAGAAGGGACACAATTAGATGTGCATTTACAGAACAGAACTCCTGCTGGAGTGTGGAAAGAGGGAAGAGATGGGAAGCCGCGAGTGAGAGAGGCAATACATTTTCATAATTTCTTGTTTTTTTTCATAAACAGTTTTTTCATAATTCTCATTTCTTTTACTTGAAATAGCATCATGGGCTGCGTGCGGTGTCTCACGCCTGTAATCCCAGGACTTTAGGAGGCCAAGGCAGATGGATCTCCTGAGGTCAGGAGTTCGAGACCAGCCTGCTCAATAAGGCGAAATCCTGTCTCTATTAAAAATACAAAAAATTAGCCGTGCGTTGTGGTGGCCGCCTGTAATCCCTGCTACTCGGGAGGCTGAGGCAGGAGAATCGCTTGAACTCGGGAGGCAAAGGTTGCAGTGAGCCGAGATGGCACAACTGCACTCCAGCCTGGGCTACAAGGGTGAAACTGTGTCTCAAAAAAGAGAAAAAAAAAAAAAGCACCATGATCTCAGACTCAACACATCCAAACTGAAACTCTGTCTGCTCAAAACCAATGCGTCAACATAAACAGTATTATTTCCTTCCACATTTGGAGACGTTCACGTATCTCAACCTCTTTGTGGGCCTTGAAGTCGCATAATTTGATAACAGATCCCAGCACAAAACTTTGCACACAGAAAATACTTGATGACAACTGAGTGGAGTGTCCTGGAGCCTTGCGATTATGGGAGCAATACAACCGGGTGGTTAAGAGTAAGGGTTTTGAATCAGAGGGCCCGAGTTCAAACCCTGGCGCAGCCACTTTAGTGCATGAGACTGGTCATATGAAGTGACCGATCTAAGCCTCAGTTTCTTCATCTCTAAAATGGAAATTAATGGAAATTATAACATCACCCGCCTCAAGGACTGGAGACAAACGTCCACAAAGTGTCGAGCTCATAGTAAATCCTCAATAAATACTAGTGGTTATGTATAACATCACATCATTTATTCAGTGCCTACCAGGTACAGAACAAGCACAACGCAACAGGCTTCTCAACCCCTTCAATCTGCATCACACTTTTGTCCTTCCCATTTTACAGATAAGAAAACTAAGGCTCAACAGAGTCAAGCTTGTTCGAGGTCTTGGGAGCATCTCCCAGGGCATTAGAACTTTTGGAGGAAGGGATTTAGTTCAGTAATGGTTCTCACCTGCGTGTATGAGCGAGTGGAAGAGACCCCTCCCCCGCAACCCGGGACATCTGGCAATGTTTGGAGATCTTGTTGATCCTCACGACTTGGGGGATGGGGATACTGCTGGCATCTAGTGGGTAGAGGCCAGGAATACGGCTCAACTTCCTACATTGCACAGGGAAGGCCCCCACCCACAACCAAAAACTATCTGACCCCGAACATCAGTAGTGTCAACGTTGAGAAACCCTTCTCTAGCCAGGTCACTCTCCTGATCTTCCCGCTTCTGGCCATCCGGATCTTAGACGAACACTTTCCAGCAAGGGGGCTCAGTCCCACCACGGGAGGCCCGTGCAGAAGTTGTGCAGAAGTTCTTCCCCACCTGCCCTGCACACAGTAGGGACCAAAACCCATTTTAACAAGCCCGGCAGCCCAGAGCACCGGAAAAGGAAGGAAGGGCATCCATCCCCCATTGTTCAACTGTGTGCAGTTTGTGTTTCCAACAGACACACACACATATTTTACAAATCCTAACGTCCCACGCCCCACAAACAGCTTTGTTAGAGATGGCGCTCAAAAAAAGATGCAGTTTAGATTTTTTTTTTCCCCCCAGGACTCCCGTGTATCTACTGAAGGGTTTGCACACTTCTCAAAGGACCTCGCACCGGCCGCGGTGCTCTGACAACGACCACAAAAGAATCTGTGGGATTTCCCGGGGGAGCGAGCCCGTGGGCCGTGACCTCTGCGCGCTCAAAGCGTTCCCCGCGCTCCCCCCGCCGCTGGCCCCACTCTCCCGCCCCCGGAGCCCGGGCTTCCAAGGCGACCTGGGCCCCCGGCCGTGCAGCCCGGCCCCCCGGCGCATGCCCACGCCGTATCCCCCTCGCCCGTCCCTCGAGGCGCCAGAGGAATCCGGCCCCAGGGCCTGTCGCCGGCGCCTACACCGGCCCGCCCCGACCTGCCCGCCGCGGCCCCAGCGCGCGTCCCCTCCCGCGGTCCGGCGCGGCCTGGGCCTCGGCCGGGTGCAGGCCCGCGGGCGCCCCGCGGGCAGGGCCAGGCGAGCTCCAGGCCTGCCGCGGCCTACCCCGTCGGGGCCGCCGAAGGCCCCCACCGGCCTCACCTGGACGCGGGCGGGCGGGCCCGGGGGCTGCTCCGGGGCGGGGCGCGGGAGGCGGCGCGGCGCGGCGCTAACGGCTACCGCTCGGCCTTCGGTAGCGGGTGCGGCTGGTGGCGCGCGGCGACGGCGCACGGCTCCGTCCTCCAGCCGCGCACGGACCCGCTCCGGCCCGCGGACGCGAACACGCGCCCCCGGCGCGCGCGCCCATTGGTCGGCGTCCGCCACGTCGCGCTGCTCATTGGCCGTCGTGGCTGTCGCGGCACCCCGGGGCGCGCGGGAGAGGCGGGACTTCCGGTCGGCGCCGCCTGCGAAGGGCTCCGCGGCCGGCGGAGACGCGGGCAGCCAGCGATGGCCGCGGAGGGGGCGGACTGGGTTCCGGCCCTCGGAGGCTGACGGAAGGCGGTGGCTGAGGAGCGGCGCCTCTAGTTGAGCGCTCGCCGTCTGTCCCGCACCTGTGTGACCTGCCGCCGCCGCCCAGTAAGGTAGGAACGGTCAGCGCGCCGGGGTTACGCGTACAAAACCTGGGTTCGAATCCCGGCCCCGACGTTTCCTCACGTAGTGCGGTTGGGCAGGAGCTGACGTCACCTTGCCGGGCCTCAGTTTCCTTCTCTGGTGCGCTGAGGAGGCGTGGCATGGAACGTGGTCAGAGCACCATCGGTGCTGGCTCTTTGAGCAAGCCAGTTCCCGAAGGCTCAGCCTCTCATTCATTCATTAAAATGTCATTGAGCGCCTACTGTGTGTCAGTCACTGTATGGGCAGTGAGCAGATAAAAAAATACCTGGTCTTATTGGGCTAACATTCTAAGCCAGCGCTGACCTAGAATGCCCTAGTAGAAATACATACAACCTACATGTTTAATTTTTTTATGCTTTAATTTTTTAAATAAAGATGGGCTCTGGCTCTGTTGCCCAGGCTGGTCTGGAACTCCTGGACTCAAGTGATTCTCCTGCGTCCGCCTCACAAAGAGCTGGGATTACAGGCATGCTTGCACTCTGCCTAATTTTGTTTTTCTTTTTTTTGTGTGTGTGTGATCTGAAAATAATAATCTTTTTATTTTTATTTATTTATTTGAGAAGGAGTCTTGCTGTGTCACCAGGCTGGAGTGCAGTGGCGTGATCTCGGCTCACTGCAACCTCCGCTTCCCGGGTTCAAGCGATTCTCCTGCCTCAGCCTCCTGAGTAGCAGGGACTACAGGCGCGTGCCACCACAACCAGCTAATTTTTGTATTTTTAGGAGAGACGGGGTTTCACGGTGTTGGCCAGGATGGTCTCTCTCTCTTGACCTCCTGATCCGCCCACCTCGGCCTCCCAAAGTGCTGGGATTACAGGCGTGAGCCACCACCTGGCCTAGAAACGCTTTTTACAGATTGGGTCTCACTGTGTTGCCCAGGCTGGAGTACGGTGGCTGTTCACAGGTGCAATCATCCCACAGGTTTAACTCCTGACCTCAAGCAGTCCTCCTGCCTCAGGCTCCCAAGTAGCTGGGATTATAGGCACGTGCCACCACACCTAGCTCAATTAAATGTTAAATTTAACATTTAATTGTTATATTTTATGGTAGCTAGCATTCTGGATCATCACGGTGCAATAGAAGTATAAGCAAAGCAGGCCAGGCGCAGTGGCTCATGCCTGTAATCCCAGCACTTTGGGAGGCCAAGGCAGGCAGATCACGAGGTCAGGAGTTCAAGACCAGCCTGGCCAACATGGTAAACCCCCATCTCTACTAAAAATACAAAAATTAGTTGGGCGTGGTGGCGGGTATCCGTAATCCCAGCTAATCGGGAGGCTGAGGCAGGAGAATCACTTGAAACTGGAAGGCAGAGGTTGCAGTGAGCCAAGATCCTGCCTCTGCACTCCAGCCTGGGTGAAAGAGGGAAATTCCATCTCAAAAAAAAAAAGAAGTATAAGCAAGCCACAGATTTGTCAGCGAGGTATGTAATTTAAATTAAATTGTTAGCCATATTTAAAAATAAATAAAAAGAAACAGGTGATGTTAATTGTAATGTGTTTTATTTAACTCAGTATGTTGAATATGTTATTATTTAAACATGTAGTCAATATTTTAAAATACAGGATATTTTGTATCTATTATCTTTCCAAAATACAAGATACTTTGTGTGTCCTTTTTCTTTCCTGCTTGCTTTTTTTTTTTTTTTTTTTTTGAACAGGAGTCTCACTCTTTGCCAGCCTGGTGTGCAGTGGTGGGATCTCGGGCTCACTTCAAACTTCCCCCCTCCGGTTCAAGCAACATTTCTCCTGCCTCAGCCTCCTCCCAAGTAACTTGGGATCACAGGCACCCGTGACCGACACCCGCTATTTTTTTTTTTTTTTGAGACGAATTGTCCTCAACCCAAAGCTGCGAGTGTAGTGGCAGCATCTCGCTCACTGTAACTTCTGCTTCCCAGGTTCAGCATGATTCTTCTTGCCTCAGCCTCCCCGAGTAGCTGGGGATTTACAGGGTGTGGCCACCACGGGCCCAGCTAATTTTTGTATTTTTTGGT